TAAAGCCCACGGCATTCTAGTGTGCAGGAGAAACTGCTGGCTGAAAAGAAGAAACTTCTGAAAAGAAGCAGAAATCTTCCCACAAGTGGGCTGTGCAAATGGTCAATACAACTTCCAGCTTCAGAGCACATTTTGCCAGAGAAGAGCACTCTGTCCTCTTTGTTCAGTACTGACTGCCCACACCCTTCCTCCCCACTTCACCAAGCTAGGGAACAATGCTCAGTCACTGGTATCACAGATCCAATAACCTGCATAAACCTCAAGGCAATATACAGCATGTTTTTGAGAACCAAGATGACCAGGAGCAGCAGAAGCAGTGCAGAGGGCAGGGGAAGAGCACCACAGCAAAGAAGCAAGGCCATTACGGGGCAACTGGGAACCAGAACCTACTAAGTACAGCATGTCAGGAAAGGTTAGGATAAGAAAATGTCCAAAACCAGAGTTAAGAGTGTCAAAATAGGCATGTCTACTAGGGGTCAAAGGGAGATGCTGAGAAACGGCTTGTCTGACAAGGAAGCAAGCCAGACCACGAGGAAAGCAAGAGGCCACAAGGTTACTGACATTACAGAGAACCACAGACATAACAGCAGGGCATAACAAGACCACAACACTTTCCTGAGAGGAATATGGACAGAATGAATACATATATTGGCATAAAATCACTTGTAGTGTTCCCAAACTTATTATTCATTCCACCACAATGTAATGCATTTGTATCGGATAGAAACCAATCTTTTGCAGATTGGTTTCTCTTAACCTGAAAATGGGAGAGAAAAGGTATCTTGCTCTGCAGTACCTCTAGATTTTATTTCTCCTCACCAAAATCCCAGGTCTTCTCTAGTCTTGGGAAATGTCCCTTGTATTTCATTCTCACTGAATGCCAAACAAAGGCTGCAACAGATAAATATTCTTATGGTATCAATGCCTAAATCCTTCTTCTGTAAAACTTAACCATGCTGCTCAGATGTGTAAAGATAAACCTACTTCCAGTAACTCCCTGCTGATTTGTCTCCAACAGAGGATGTTGTCTCCTCTCCCTCTCCTGTAAAGGAGGCCTGGATGATTCTACAAACACAGCTTCCATATTGCACAGTTATTGGGAGAGTGGATGGGTCAGCCAGTGAAATAGCATGTTAAAGTATTGAGGAAGAAGAGAAAGGGACTCATCAGCTTTTTTCTTTCTGTCTCAGGCTGTCGAGGACAGACTTTGAACCCTTGTGTGAAGAGGACCCCTCATCTGTGACCCCACAATGTGCTCCACTCCGTGCCTATTTCAGGTCCATTCAAGCCTATCGAGCTCCTGTACTTTGAAAGCCTCTGACTGTGGATTTTTCGTGCCTTGTATGAGACTGCAAAAGTCTTATGCAATTGCACAGACTGAGAAAAAGCAACAGAAGGCTGAAATAGCTTGTATAAAAGTCATATGGACATGGCATTTCTAAGTATACTGCTTTGTTTGGGCAGTGAGGATCTTAGCATACAAATAACAGAAGGGCAGCTTCTAGTAACCACAATTTAAAAAAATTCTGAGACAGACAGCTGAACTGTTTTTTGCAGGGCTAAGCTTGAGGAATAAAAAGAAGCATTAAAACCCAATAACCTTTCACATTAAGGTCAAGTGGTTGTTAAAGTGGTGTCTGGACAATCTTTTCTCCATCCTCTGCCTGATTTTTATCTGATTTTTATCTGATTCATAACATCACAAACATCAGCCTGCATCACTCATTTCTCTCCCCCAATATACTTTGTGATAATGAGAAAATATGCAGCATAGTAGTTTCTTTTTTCAAGCATACAGTTATATTTTTCTTTTTTTTTTCTCTGAAGTATTTTGTATTTTTAAAAATATATTCTTTCACTTTTTAAGGAAGAATTATTTGTAAATTTCTTCTCTCTGGAAAGAATACCAGTTACAATAATTTCACATGGCACTCTTGACACACTGAAAAAAGCAATGCTCTGTGTTGCCCTAGGCAAAATTTTGACCAACCACTAATTATATTTTAAAGAGCTAAACAATACAAAAAAAAAGAGTATAAAAAAAGACCTATGTCTAAGTTCGCTTTGCATAAAGTTGCTAATGGTGGCACTGTGGCTACAAAACGGTAACACAGCACACAGTTCTGGATTTCATTAAAGGACAGAAATACAGACTTCTACAATATTTTCACAATACATGAAGGTGGGCAGGATGGGTGAGATGTGAGCTGCCTGCAATGTCCCTGGGCCAGAGGCAGTCCAGCTAACGTAGGTGAGTGTTGGAGCTTAACGGGGGGAGGCTGAAGGAAGAGTAACTGGAGCTGGGGGAGCCTGTTGTAGCTGAAGAGGGACACGATTTTTGCAGTCTGTTCTCACAGTTCTCATTCAGATGACCGGCTCGGATGACTTCTGTCAGCCTTTTTACTGGTTTAGGTTAAAAAAAAATGGCAACAGGAAACACTGTAAGGGAGGCTTTGTAAAGTGCTGAGGAGGAAGAACGGAAGAGGAAGAAAGGAGTCAAGGGAAGAAAATGGAGGAAGGGAATTAGGATTACTCATATTTTGTCTCTCTAAACAGCAATCTATCATGAAGACATCTAGGTCTTTTTCCCTATGATTATGGAAGAGCACTACTTAATTCACTATCTGCAATTCAAGCTTTAATTAAGGCTAGACTCAATCAGCTTTGCACATGCTGCTGAGATGAGCCTGAATAACATGTGTCCAACCTAGATATTTGTCTGTCCCCCAAGCCAGATAAGCCACAGTTTGTTGATTGAATAGCAGAGTCTTGGATCTTGGTCTTGCATCTACTAGTTTTGCCTGTGTGCCTCAATTCAGGACATACCAACAGGAATTTCAGCAGTACAATCTCAGTCTATCTCCTCCACAACATGCTGCAGCAAAGACAACAGAGTAGTTGCCAAGTCAAGAAAATGAATTTATATCTTCTTATTCATAGAATCAAAAAGAGTATCATGGAATATATTGGGTTTACTCTAACAAGTAAATCAACATCAGAAAGAACATCTGCACCATCCCCAGTGTCTGATCCTCTCATAGTAAAACCACCAGTGTCCGCTTTTTGATCCTTAAACAGCAAAACTGAAAATCCAGTCTTTGTAATCTTCAATTGAGCCAGTTGGTAGAATGCAAATGCAAAGAATGAGGTGACTTGCCATTGACTGTAATCTAAATCCAAAGACACTAAGCCCACAGAGATACATTAAAGTCAGGGAGCCCGTCAGGAAGGCAGATGGCAAAATAAACAATTCAGGAAAAAAACGCACTAAACCCCTTGCTGGCAGTTAATAGTAACATGGGTAGGACAAATCTCACCAGGGCAGAGAACGTTAACAGGCTGTTTGTGACAAAATGAAATAAAATTACTTGAATTGACACTTATGGTCTCATAAATCTGACCGACACATCTATTACTATTTTGACCTGGGACTTCATCCTTGGCTCAGGATGCTGAAAGCTGCTTTCATTAGGAGCCAGGCATATGATGGAGCCCAGCATCCCTGACACAATGCAGTTTCTACAGAGAGTCCTATTTACTGTCAGGCAGGAGGATTCACCTGACAGAGCACAGCCTATGTTCACAGCTCCCAGCCTATTTCTGCCAGCGCTCTGCCCCAGAGGTCTGTCTGCAGGGGCTCTCCCTGGGACTCTGCACTGCTAGGGCTGTCCAGGGTTGCAGTGCTGCACCTTCCTCAGGTTTTTTTAGGGGTGGTTTGCTTTCTCTCTTTTCTAATAACGGTTCTATCAATGGAAGTTTTACACTTTCTGTTTTCTACATCAAATCCCAGGAAAACCTGCAGCTAGATAAATCCCTTGTTTCAGGTACTGCCTGTTATGTCAGTTACTGTGCCATTGAAAAGGACCTGAATTACTACCTCCATGTATTCAGAAATATGGTTGCTATATAGACCCACACACCTATACATGTACCTTTCCCAGTGATATATGAGCACCCATTACAGAACACGGTGTTTTCAGCAGGAGACTCTCTGGTCTGAGGTTATGGTTGCTCAGGTCTCCCTTTGAACACTCAGCTGGCAGGTTTCAGCGGGTATCTTGCCCCCTGTGGTTTAGGTGCACTTTCCTGGGAGCTGGCCTTATTTCATAGTGAGAGACAGCTCTGTCCCCGGAGCACTGCTGAGGGAACAGGCACGAAGGGAAAAGAGGCTGCTCTTTACTGCTTCCCTCATACATTTCACTCAACTAGTTCCCCCACCACGTGGTTACCACTATGTGGAGTGCCAGAAGACCTGCTGTGCCCAGTGAGGAGAGGGAGAAAAGCCTCATTGCAGTGACTGTATTTTGTATATCTCACCAACAAAAGCTTTTCTTGTTTTTGTTTTTCCCGTTTCAAATAGCCTTTTAAAAAAACACATCAATTTAAATACAAAAGCCTCCCCTAGAAAACTATCCAGAAAGATAATTTCAGACCAAGATTAAACTCTCTTTGATTCTGTCCCGAAAATCTTCTTGCTGGCACACAGGTTACTGCAAAAATAGGCTCTACCAGCTGAGCTGATCCAAGAAGGCAGAAGCACAGATACCATTTCAACCTCTGACATTTGCCTAAGTAACTCTAGTGTCCTTTACTAGTATTGCAGTGACCTCTAAAAGCCTGATCCAAGCCCATCTGCTTCATTGTCCCTTACTGACCTACCCCAGACTTCCAGAAACTTTTCTAAGCCTGGAAGGATGAGTATTTAATATACAGATAAAAACCCAAAAATACATGAGTGTGCTGATGAGAAACAGAATAGCCTAAAGCCTTCCATCTCCATGCTGCTGATGTCTGCATGGTTAAAAATGAGCTACCTAGGGCTATATGAACCCTGGTGTTAGCCTGAACAATGCATTCACATCCATTTACCTGAAATCTAAATTTGGTTTATTGCATTTCATAACCACATGGAAGATGACGGCATCCCTTTAATGCTGAGTCAGAGCAAAAAGTTTCCACTTTTTATGCATATCAGCACAAAAGAAACCACTTCCACTTACCCAGGAGTACTGTAGATCCATATCAGTTAGGGAATATGTGAGATGTGGCTGATGAGAAGAGCAAGTACAGTTTTCCCATTCTTCTATTTTTGAAATCAAGAAGTCACAAGGACAGAGCTGGTTGTCAGGAAACGTCTTCCAGTCACTCCACAAGTGAAATTCAGTTTCTGAATGAATTGAAATAGTTCCTAAGTTATTAAGTCTGGAAGTGTATGTGCGGCCCAGAGACGCAGAAATAAAATCTGGCCTGGTCTCACTCTCTTCTTTTCTCCTTGAGCTGTCTTTCCAGGTTTTCTTCTCCTGAGGTCTTGTCAGCTTCATGCAAGAAGTCAGTGCTTCTTCATCCTCTTCAGAGAGATAAGCATCCTCTAACGCATCTTTAAAAATACAAATACTTCTGTTATGATATGTTGCAATTCACAGAGAAAGTGGCACTTTTTTTTTTTTAAATGCTGTCTGTTGCATTCTGTATAATGAAAAACACAAGGACTCCATTAAAAAAAACAAATAACCGTGATAATTAGGGAAATGGAAAGTATTTTGTATTGGGTCCGGCATCTGAGCCAAAAGTAAAATTTGTTCTCCATTTGTTAAATTTATCTTGTTCCCTCAAAAGCCTGGAAAATTTTACTGGTTCTGCCCCTGAATATGAAAATTTGGTAACTGGATGTCACAGTTGCAGAGAGCATGAGTTTAGCCTAAACAATGGAAAAGTTTAGGAAACTTTCTGGATATTTCCTCTCCCATCCCTTCTCAGTATGTAGCTACAAAGTAGTGGCTGAAATCCATTATTTCCTCATGTGTTTCAGCCGAAGCAATGAGTTGGCTGGAGCAGTAGTTCATCAGACAGTTTAAACTCATTTGGTTGCATTGGTTTAAAAATGATCATATACACAAGTGCATTTTACAACAAGTGCATGCACTTTTAAATTGGCAAAACAAGTTCAGAGGAAGAACTGCTGCACAGTCAGATCAGTGACCCATAGGAGACTCCAGAAAATAACCTGACCCCAGAATCAGTGTAGAATTCCTGTGCCTTATGGCCCAAGGCAATCAGGTATGATGAGAGGCCAACTTGCTTATCATAACACAGACCTTCCTGCACTCCCAGCTGCTACTGCTTCCTGGGTTAACAACGAAAGTTATCTCCACATTCGTGAGTTTTGCCTTTCTGATCCGAAATGTGATACAAACCTAGGAACTACTGCAAAACCAAATTTTCCCCATCCCAGAGGCCCCGCTGTTATACAATTCTATTTATCTAAAATCCCCACTTGCGAGATATACTGTTACAAAACTCGAGCTAGTGTGACAGGAAACAGGTTTTCACACTATGAGGAAGTCAGCACTCAAGTGGTATCACAGTAACATCTCAGCTGGGGTTTGAAAATTGTGGGTGGTGAATGACAGACCAGGACAGGATTGTTTACAGTTATGTTCAATACAGTGTCATTTGCCAAATGTTGGCAAGAATGCTGATATGATGCTGTACTTACTGAGGGGGAGCAAAACATGCTTAACATCTTCCAAGCTTTGTGTACTCGTTTTTTTTGTTCGGACCAATTTCTGCAGTCGTTTTAATGTTCCCATGGACTCTACTTTATCTTCTGGTTCTGTGCCCTGGCAAAAAAACCAAAGACATTAAAATTATTCAAATCCTACAAATAAAAAATAAGGGTAACGTGTTAATCTGGAGAATGACAAAGTTTCAGATTCAAAGAACTGATCACTGACACAATGCTTTAGAAGTTAGGCACTTCTTTGCTTGGGAAAAATAGGTAAAAAAAAAATAAACAATTCTTAGAACATTATTCATATTGCTGTTTACATATTACATTTCTTGAATACCACAGCATTGCTTAGTACTTAATTCCAGATTTGTTCCAGAAAACATTTTAATACATGCATCCACCACATTATCTAGAAGCCTTTTAAGTGTGTACAGGAATCCCAGGTGTGGTGAGCTACTGCATTTAAGTGTTTATGGGACTGTGTTCTGAAGTACTGACATCTGTCTTTCTTTCTTCAAGACCTTATTTTGTTTCCTAGATTAAATGACAATAATGTAAAAGACAATTCAAATCTGTTATTGTACACTCCACCAGCTTCCTACTGAGAAACTCAAGGTTTAAATACTACAGGCTCCTAGAGCAAGAACTTCATGAACATGCAGCCATCTCATTAATGTTCACTTATGTTAAACCAGCTGCTGTCTTCCAAATCAGTCCAGAAACACTTGAGTTCTCTTCCAGTCTGACTCTGAACTTCTCTGTGAGCTTCAGAGAGAAATTTCATACTCTGACAGCAAATAACTTCTGTTCCATAGTCACACGCTGTGTTTCACATAGAATATCTGATTTTCAATGAAGCAAAACAAACCAAAACAAAATTAGAAATTAGTTAAGACTGTAATTAACGGATGGCTACCTTTTTGGAACAATACTGTCTGGTTTCTATGGATATTCACCTATTTAAACTGATAATGATTTTGTATTGTAGCAATAAATCTTTGGCAATATTGCAAGCGATTAAGTGCTGGTGCTGATGTTATCAAAAGGTAGAAATGCAGAGGTCCTTATTGCAGTTTCCCCAGCAAATAGGTCACACAATCATAGATGCTTCCTTCTTCCTCACATGCATAATCCTTTGAGACAAAGTCATCCCAGAGTTTGCCAGCAGTCTAATGTATAGAGGGCAGGCTGCTTAGGAATGGGTCTCAAGGGATCCTGAACTCCCCAGCTCTCATTTGGGTTAAAGCCTCTTTGCAAAGTCTTAGCATGAAGCACATCTGAAGCTCCAGCATTCACATCCTACAAGTCACTTCCATCCCCTGCAGCACTGATAAGGGAGAGGGCGTATGTTGATTTCAGATTAAAAAAAAGTCCACTGTTCACTTGACAGATAAGCGCTTATAGAGATTGCTATGCTTGAACTGCCAAAAGTTCAGATATTTTTATATGAAGACATGAGGTTCTGTAAGCACAACTAGGAGTCTGAGACACCTTATGCCCAGGCAGAGGTCACTTTTATGTGTGTTTAGTTACTTCTGTGTCATGAGACAACTGTGTTGAAATTATATTCAGTTGAAGCAGAGAGTTAGTGAAAGCTAAGTGACAATAAGTGAGATGTTTCCCTGTATATTCAGATGTTTAATTTCAAACGTTGAAAGGGTTTGTACCAAATGATTTGCATGACCACTTCATCTTGCTCCAGCTATAAATTGGCATGAGGCATTAATAGACTATGCTGCTTTCTTTCCTTAGGGATAAGACTTAGGAGTCCTTCTTTTGTTAATCACAATAAGTAATGCAAAAGTTCCCATGGTGGATAGCACTTGGGTTTAGACTCCCCTCTTTTCAGCAGCATGTTTCATTCCTTGAAATCTGCAGAGTGACTGGGAGTCAACCAAAGGAAATAGAGGGAAGTCAGAGAGTTGAATATAAACACCTTTCCATGCCTCCAGTGTCCAGTTGTAGCTACATTAGTATTTTAGTTTTGAAGTGAATTTCACATCTGTCCCTGTAAGCTGTGATTCCGCCTCAGAGTGCCACCAACTGAATTCATCACAGACAAAATTAAGATGAAAGACACTTTCCAGAAGTTCAGCTGAAGAATTCCAGCTGCTCTTGAATGTCCAGAGAGATGACGTGAACAGAGGTAGACCTCCCATAAGACGTACAGTGTGGACATCAACTCATCAGCACCAACTGTTCTGTTGTTCTTCATCTTTCCTTCATCTGTGTGTAGATGAAACACACACTGTGCCTGCAATGCAGGCAGAAATCCTGCTATGATAAATCTACAGGAGAAAGGGAACATAGTGTGGATGCTGCAGTATTCCTCAATGCTAGGATAGTCATATACTACTGTGCCAGTTACTAATATAGACAAAACCTAGGTGCTTTCAATCTCTGCCAGGTTTTTATTATTTTGTAGATTTTATAAAAGATAGCATTTTTGAGTTTAAAACCATTTAGGTCTTCTTGAGGATCTTCACTGTAGGGTAAGGTCTCAGCAGACCCACCTTAAAACTCTAGTCAGCTCAGGGCCCTCTTACAGCTGGTATCTGATTATTCATCATCCACTGTGGGCCAAATCCAAGAACGCTTTGGTTGGTCACGTTCTGATTTGCATTTCAATCCCCCTCTCTCCTCTTCCAAATTCAAGATAGTAGGACTGCAGTTTTACCTTAGCTAAAGAGAGAAACTGGGGTGTAATTTTTCAGTCTTTCATTGTGAGATATCTTTGCAAAATAAATCATAGGGGTTTAAAATGCTAATATTGCTCTCATATAAGATCTCTTGTAGCAATAATAATTTGTTCACTTATAAGTAACGACACAAAAGCAACATGATGACTTTGAGTTATGATCTGGGATTTCCATCATGGAGACATCAAGATAAATGGAAGATAATCTATTCAGATAATTTCATTAATGGCAAACTCTAATCCTCTTTGCCTTAAAAGCACTCATTTCATAGAGTCTATCATTAGGGAAAAGTCATAAATGCTTAAATAACAAATGCAGCAACCCCCTTTCATGGAGAAAAAAGATCATGCAGTATCAGCTGGTGCTGGGACAGCATTTAAATTTACAGTATTTTATTTTGGTTTACCTAAGTGTTCAAAGCCGGAATTTTAGCTGCCTATCCAAATAGAGGTAAAACATTCTTTGATATAGAAACCAGATAGACAATCAAGTGAACTGTGCTTTTCCTCAATCTATAAGCAAAGCTATTTATAAGGAAAGAATTCCTGCATGACCAAGTAACAAGAATATTATTGTTTTCTCTACTTAACGGGTTTTAGTGATGAAAAATCATGTCCCATCACAAATAAAAATGAATTGCATAAAAAAATAAATCACAGGCTGCCCTTTATTTGCAAATAATTTGCATGAAGTGCGCATGACTATTTAGGGACAAAAAAGTATACATTTTTAAAATGCATTTCTGAAAATGCATTACAGAAGAAAGACCTGAATTGAGTCTGATAAACTGTTTTGGGTTTATCCTAAGGTATTTTAAACACCTTAGAAATCTTTGCTCAGTGAGGTGTTATGAGGATTAACCTGGTGACAGAAATACAGCAATTTGGAAGCTAAGTGTAAAACACTGTTGGTTGGATTCCAGCAATCCCGGTCCTGTTGAGCACTCTCTTCCCTGGGTGTAACTGCATTAATTTCAATAAAACCACTTGCACAGCATGTCAATTCTCTGCCTAAAGAATTTAGTCACGGCAGAGTCTAATCTCTGTGATTTTCCTTCAACTGCTTTGCCTTTCCCAAAAAAGTGCAATGATTTAATCATGGTTACCTGTGTGCTTAAATTCAGAGTGTACAGTGCAATAGTGAGAAGACAAAAATTGCCCTATGTTCATTGTGTCCATGGCACTCTTGTTATTGTACCATAGAAATTTTTGGAAAGTTTCAGTAATAACCTGGCTGCAGATAGTGAATATTAAAATAGTATATGATGATAGAGAACTTTCTGCTCTGTTTATACGAAGAGCTCTGTAAAATGCACTGAATTTGGATAAAGCTCCTGCCCACACATATCTGACCTTTAAATATTCCCATTATTTTAGTCTGGTACTCCAACTAGTCTAAAATGAGTGCAGAGTCAGACCTAAGCAGGCTAGGATTATAGACAGATTTTCTCCTGGGAATCACAGAGCAATAATACAATATTCTATAAATGATAAAGAAATACTGTTATTAATAGCAAAGCAATAATAAGATATTTTATAAAAGACAAAGAGATATCATGATTAATAACAGGGATATGGATAAAGATCTTTCAGCTTTTGGGGAAGGAACATATAGTACAGGAAATTCTACTAAAACAGCCTGTTCTTCCCAGCTGCTGGCTGCTGGTGAAAAAAAATCAACAATTTTCATGGCAACTCACCATTTCACTGTTACCAGGCACACCTGGATTGTGAACTCGTGGTGGAATCCATTGCTCATAGTTTATCACCTAGATGGTAAGAAAAATAAAATAAAATAAGATTTTTAAGAAATCCAACATAAATAAGACAAATAAACATAATTTGCATCATGTAACTGAATACATATGGGAGATCAGCAGTTTTCCAACCCAGTGCTCTGTGCATACAAAAGTAAATGGCTGACATGCACCAGCTGACACCCATTGAAATAATTTTGATATTGAGCTGTCTTAATTTCCTGAGTTATCTGGGACTTGGGAACATCTTGGGGACACCACAGCATACGTGGTACAGTGGCAGAGCCATGCACTATAGTACAGGATCTTTGGGTCTCAGCCTACATCTTGGTTTTCCTTTCTCAATGAGCAGAAAAGCCAGAGAAGACTTCCCTCAGCACCAACCCCCCAGCTGAGGAGCAAGTGTCACTGATGCATTTCTAAGAAGGGTCTTGCTCAGTTCACCTCATTTTGCCTGGGGTGCTGAGCACCAAGGGTGTGAGTTTGAACTGGGCTAACAACAATCCCCAGAACTAAGCCAAGACAGGACTATATACACTGCCGTCACCTGCCCATAAGCCATTTTTTGGCCACAATATCCTCACAATGGGAACACCATGAGAATACACTCCCTGGGGCACTGATGCCCTAGTGGGCAAGCCTGGCAGTGCTCTCATAGCTTATCAGGAAAGTAATGAACACTGGCCTTTTTTCTTCATGAATGTGAATGACACTTTGAAGGCTGAATGCAACTTAAGAATTTAGGTGAGAAATGAGGCATGAAATATTTTTGAAAATGTATTAGCCCAAAGACTGTATTACTTGATATTTTGTGTCCCTCCCAATATGCTACAAAGGGTTTGAGCCACGAAGGGAGCCCTGCTAGACATGAGTAAACAAGACCAAAGGTATGAAAAATAAATGCAAAAAGTAAAGCTCCTTTTTCTGGTAAGGTACACTTACTGCAGTGTTGCTCACACTGTGTCTCTCAACCTGTACTTCTATTTCAAGCCCCTGTTTTCCAGCACTTACAGAATGAATGGAATGAATGAGTGTCAATTTAGGAAATGGAGAAGGCTTAAAGCTTTTGTGAAGGACTCAGGAAAACTTATTTGCTTTCTTTTCTCTTTTTTTTTTCTTTTTTTTTCTTTTTTTTTTTATTTTAAAAAGGGGGAAAAAAAATCTAAAATGTTCATCTATGCTATTTACCCTTGCTTGTAAATCTGCCTGTTCCATGTCTTATAAAATCACAAACTCACACAGACTAGCTTAGGCAGGAATGCAATTCTGGGAATTGTCTAGTCTAACTCCATGCTCTGAACAGGTCACCAGAACAAGCTGCAGAGGTCCGTGTCTTGACAGGAGAATCTTCAAAGATGAACTTCTCATACCATCTCTGGGAAGCCTCTTCAGTGTTTGACCTCCCCTCACACTAGAGAAGTGCTTTCTTTATGTTAAGTGAAATTTCCTGCATTTCAGTTTGTGCCTACTGCTCCATCACATTCCTAGGGACTGGGGTAACAGTGTGGTTTGTAGTTCCCTGGACTTTCTTTCCAGACCTCTTAAAGACAGGAGAAACAGCCAGGGGATAGTTCAGTTGTGTGAGCTGTCCCACCACATTGCTGAGGTCATGAGACTTGCAGCCATGCAACTCCATGCAGACCTCTAATTCCTCCCGTTTGTTCCCCACGCTCTGTGCATCAGCAAACAGGCACTTCATATGGGCACTAATCTGTGCTGATTTTGCAGAAAAAGAGTGAGAGCTTTCCCCATAGTGCTGTTCTCTCAGCATTTCCTTATTTGTGTGCATAATGTAGCACAGCAAAGGAATACAGACATAATCAGACTATTCTGGAAGCTTAAAAGAGCATTGTATCAATGTTTTCTTGATGATAATGAAGGTGAGAGGTAACGATCACTAAAATTCAAAATACTGTCATAAACCCTGAAATTTTTAAAAAGCAAATGCAATAGTTCTTAAATTAGTACCAAAGTTTGGAGGTATCCAAGTCTCTGCAGCTCATTTTTCATGTACCCCAAGAAGTGCCTTCAAACACTTTGAGAAATGAAAAATAGAACTTTGCATCTAAAATGGGACAAATGGTTCATGGGAAGAAGATTTAAGGGATTTTAAGGAAACTTATATTTAGGGCAAACATAAGCCTTATTCCCTATTACTTCTTCCCTTTTCCCCTCCATATTCTGTCATGTCTGGGGAATGACCTCCATGATCTTAACCAGAAATCAGCCCAAAAGCTTCCATGGCAGGACAGGGGCAGAGCCAGAGATCCCTCACACCAAGGGAAGAACTGTTGTGGGAAATTAAAGAGCAATCTTTCTTCATAGTACTTAGAAAGTGAGAGGAAGAAATCAGAGACAGAGAATGAGAGATGCAGAAGAGAAAGAGTTCTTTTCTCCTTTCCTCCCTCCTCAGCTACTTTTTTGGCAGCTGGAAGAGGAGATAATCATGGGAACAAACTAACAGTGCAGAGACAGATAAAAGCCTGAGGGAAAGCAGGAGAAACCTGGAACACACTGACTTTCAAGTTTCCAATACGGTCATCTGTCCCCCGATATGCAGATCATTTGACTTTTCTTTTTAATCCTGATTGTGTCTTTGGCCTACACTGGAGCTGAGCACTGCCTAAATGCTGGGTCTTCACAGCTCTCTGTCTTATCTCAGATGCCTTCAGGGTGATGCAAGTACAGTTTTTTTCTTGCTTTTAACCTACACATCCAAAAGGACTCCTGACATTGTATAGAAACAACAGAGGAAACTCAGCTTGGAGCCTTTTCTAAAGTTTAGTGCTCACCTTGAATTTAACACTTCTCTGCAAAAGAAAATTTAATAGATTTTTCAGCTCCTAAATAATTTATTGTATTAATTCCTCATTTAGGAGACACACATATGGAGAGGTGTGTTACACATTTTTAGTCAGATTCCCAAACTGGGTGAACTTTTATCTCCTGTGAAATCAGCAGAGCTAAGATGGTTTGCCACAGATATAAACTGTCCCTTTAAGTAACATATTATCAGGGCAAACATCGGGCTGGAAGTGAATAAAAAGCAAACATCAGTCATGCTAATTCCAGAGATACAAGTCTTTCTCCTCACCTCTCTGCTGTTCACCAGCTGATGGCTTGTTACCTACCTTTATGTTGTTGTTATGATTATGTAAACCCAAGGGTCAAATTTCCTTAACTGCTCGTGCTAGTGGGATAATTAATGCAGTATTAGGAAGATGAGATATGGTATATGTTTACAGAAATTCAGAAAGCATTAGGATACATATGCCAATATGAATCATGCAGGACTAATCTAAACACTTAGTATAGATCTTGCTAGACACAATTCTAGCACATCCGTTTAACAGAAATGGATTTGCTCAGGGAAAGAGAAGGCTTCCTATGCAATAAAATCCATATGGTCTGCACAAGTAAAATCATGGACAACTTTGGTAGTCACCAGAGTCTTCTTTTAAACTCAGCTTCTAAAATACACAAGCATACTGAGTATGAAGTTAAGGTTAGGTAAATGCTGAATGGAAACAAGAAATACGCATTTCATTTGAATGAAATTTTAGATTTCAGAAAGAGTATTTCTTTCACCTGGCATGTTGTTTCTTCTATCTTCTTTCCTTGCAGCAAATGTATTCCATCAGCAATAATATTATCTTCTGTGAATTATGACCAAAAAAGAGAAAACATGCTTTAAAATGTCCTGTTTTATGTTGTTATGAGGAATATCATTTGAATTGCACTGATGTTTTGAGCTGACATTCTGACTCTCTGAAGTTAATCTTATATCATTTAAACATACATTTTATCTTAAACTGCTTTGAAGTGAGACTGGAGAACAAACTGGCAAACTGACTCACATAAAGAAAACTCATTCATGCTTCCTTCTTATCTATACTTAGTCTTCAGTTTACTAACCCAGAACCCCACCAAGTCCTTTCTCTTGCTCTGTTAATTTACAGCAGAAAGGTGTAGAATATTCATATAAAAAGTTAAAGGCAAAAATGATCTTTGCAATTGAGATCTGTTCATTTTAGATTAGATTAGAAATTCCTCTCAGAGGATGAACATCCTCCTGTTTCTTCCAAGAAATGAATGCTTTGCATGGGAAGAGTATGAACCTTCACTACAACAGGGAGTTGTAATAAGTCAAAGAAGTCTTTGAAAAGTTTACTTTATGTAAGTCTACTTTGAAAGATCTACTCTTACTCCTAATCTTAAGGCAAAGCATCCACCATTATGCTTGTGTAGGATGGCCCTAGTGATCAGATTGCATCAACACAGATATCAGAAGCACTCAGTTATTTTGCAGGGAAAAAAAAACAAAAAAAAAACCAAAAACCAAAACAGAAGAAAAATTATCTGCTAATCACAGCACATAATACTACTGTAATTTTCCAAAGTTACTAGAAACCAGTAGAAATGCGTTGAGGGTTTTTTTCTCATGAATTCTAACTTGATATCCACATTGCTGCTGAGGAATATCAGTAGTTCTCCTGTCTGCAAAAGGACAGCTTACTTAACATATAGAGTCACAAAGCTAAGGGTAGGCAGGTGAGACTGATTGCATTGTTTTCTCTACAATCAACAGAAAGTTTAAGTTAGTGACTGAGATTCTTCAGTTATCACATGAAAAAAGGGTCTGAACACGATCACGAAAAATTATATTCAAAGAGGTACATAAAATCCTAGTCCAGATTTTAAGTTGTCTTGAGCAGCTGCAAATCTTCTTGAAGTCACTGAGGGCCTGGTGTCTGACAATCTGGTTGTTTATTCCATTACAGAGCTGGATGGACTTCTAGAAGCAGCATAACTCATGTTCAGCAGTGCTTATGCAACACACCATTAACGTAACTGGGTTCTTTCTGGTCCTCAGGCTAATTTGTTTTCATCTCCTGCAGGCATCTCAGCACACTGCAGCCCTGTGCTCTGTAAGCTTAGTTTCAAAGTTGTCTTGCAGTGTTCAGTCCTGTGCCTCAAAGCCCTCTTACAGTCTAATCCAAAATAGTATTATTTGGTAGCTGTTTGCAGCTGAATCACAAAAAAGCTGAGGGGTAACATATAATGTCCTTAACCTGAAAGACTACATGCTGTGACACTACTTTTAACATAATTCTGTTCAAAACCAGATGAAAACAGCAAGTTATTAAAGCAAATAATAAATAAAAGTGTTCTCTCCCAACCATGATGTCTTTTGCTGGCCATAATAACATGCATCCACAGTAGTCTTAAATCTTGCCTAGGTCAGCTCTCCAAACCAATGAACTATGGAATAGGGTATTTGTGTAAAAAAACAGCCAAACCAAAAAACTCCATGGAAAAGATATATATATAAGCTACAGTTGTCTTGTCTTCCTAGTCTGGCAATGGGTACCAGTCACTTTCCTATGGAATGAAGTAGGAGCAGAGGAGAATTACATCTGCTGACTCTAAGAGTTGTCAGTTCTTTCCTGTTTGTCCCCATAATACTCTTTCATGAAAGCCCAATGACTGTGACTTGCAAGTCAGCTTTTCAACAATGATGCTTTTAGGCTGGCAAATCTCGATGATTTGGGTTTGGCCTTGTGAGCAAAGACAAGTATTCCCACTATTGTGTCTGTGGGATATGTGTTTTCATTGCTTTTTCAGCCTGGAAAACTTTTTTTTTTAGAGGAAATACACACAGTGGCATTAGGAACTTCATCCAAAAGCTGACAGTGTCCATGGATGTCTCTCCATTGATTTTAGTGAGACTTGAGACAGATCTGTGAATATAGCTCTGAAGTAAGCAGAGAAGCCTATGCTGACCACCATGCATGGTATTTTACATCTAAGAGAAATTCATATTATGCAATAGACTTGCAGACCTTGAAGGATTATCTCTGCTAAGAGAACGGTTTGATCAATAATGACAAATTATCTTGATCGATAGTGATACACTGTAAATCTCCTTGCAGTGGTTTTCACCACTGTGTGAAGGGGACTTCCCCTGAAATAATTTTACTGCAGTAGGGAAAAGGGAAATTTTTATTTAGCTGCCAGCTTTGCTTCCTGTTCCCTCTGGGCCCCTGCCCTTCAATTACAACACTTGTCAGCTTTTAAAATGTGCACTGCTTCTTTTGCATGCTTTGGATATTTAAAAGGGTAAAAAGTGCCTTGAGTAGAAAAGACTTTGGAGGAAGGTCAAAAAGTTCTGCTTTCTCACTCAGCCTTTCCCCACTTCTAAACTGGCAACTGCTGGAATAGTTTGAGGAATCATTCCAAAAGGGCTTTGGTTAAAAGTAATATTTGTCTGAAGAGAAACACCTAATATTTCCTTCACCTATCATCAGAACCTCTTCCTTTGCAAGGCAACAAGACTTACTGAAGGTCCCTTTTCCCCTCACTAGTTCATCACAAGAGCAGAGTTCCTTTAAATCTTCCTGTCCTCTCTTATTTCTTGTTCTGGGTCAAGAATCCTAATTTGCCCACACATGGGCAAATACAGTAGCTATTGCAATTTCAGATCTATTTCCAAACATTTAACAGTTTAACTTCAAGTGGTGAAGGGAATAAAATCCCTTTCCAGAGGGAAAGCTGGTGCCCTGTGCTTTTCTTTCTTTGACATATCCAGGTAAGAGTGGAGTCTCTCTTAGCAGTGGAAAATCTCTAGACCATTCGTATAGAAGATATTAAAAGCTGAGGCAATGGCCATATTCCTGCTTTGTTGGCTCAAGTGGAGAACAAAACATGCATCTACATATTTTGGTTTCTGCTTCTGCTGAACCTTGCCTGGTTTGGTCTGGTTAGGCAACTTTAAGAGATCTACCTTCCCTTTGAAAAGTATAAACATAATTGCCATTCCTGGAAGCAACATTAAGCAGATTATCAAAGCATTTTGATTTTTGTGTTTAACTAGACAAGGTGACTGCTCACTTCTTACTTCTCACTGTTATTTTAATGAATTTATACTGGTCAACTCTTAAACAGTGCCATTAGCAACTTCCCATATATGAGCTGCAAGGTTGTTCTAATAAAGTTGGTCCAAATGGGTTTAGAAGGAGAATCAGACAAAGTACTCGCATCTAAACTTTTGCCAGCTCTCTTTTGCACCTGTCTTGGGGTTTTTTTTCTGGGAAAAGTTGCACTGTTTCCCTGTTGGATACCTGGAGCAGTGTAAAATATCCAGGAAACATGGATTTCTACAGTTGGCAAGCCCTATACAACACAACTATGGCAATTTACTGTAGCAAAGTCTCCTTTGGCCCATGGACTATAGAGTCAATTGGTCACAGAGTGTGTTCTTAGCTTACCAATTTTAAGATAAGCTCTATTTTAACTACCTTTTTTTCCCCTTGAGGACAAAATAAATCTCAAAAGGACCTGACAAATTATTTAGCTGGATTATTGGTGAAAAATGAGGAATTTTCCGAGGTGCCCTTTAAAATACTTTGTGGAAAATGCAAAATCAGCTGAAATATGTTTAGCAATTACCTTCAAGCTGACAGTGCCTTCTGATGTACGAATCATTCTCCGGCTTCCTGGAACCCTGCCAAAGTGTGCCATTCACATTTTTCCTGTCTAAAGTAAAAGCACAGAGAGCAGTCACCTGAATTCATAGCAAACCCGTGAAATAACAGGAAATTCTATAAAAATAGCATCAGAATGCAAATCAAACAAGCTTGCAGAACCGTGTAGCATCTGCTTCAACATGGAAATGAATTGATGATTTTGCAATACAGGAATTTTGATGGATGGATGGTATTTATTATAGTCAGACTTCAGGTTTTATTATCTTTTGCTGCAAATACCTCATTTAACACTGTTAAAACTCGATTAGAAGGATTTTTACCTTAACCCTGATTTTAAGACCTAAGAGCCCACAGAACATCTGTGCCTTTATTTTGCTTCCAGGAATTGTATAGATATTATTTAAGTTTACAGTTAACAAGCTGGAGTGTTTGCAAGGAATAACATCAAAGATGCCCACTCCAAGCACTCCAAGGCTTGTACTATCTCAGCTTGGATGGCAGAAACTAGGTTGGCTTTGAGAAGAGATGGCCATTCTCCTGTTCCCTCGGTGAACTTCAAAGTGGTCAGGCTTCACAACATATTGATAACTATTAGGGGTTTCTGCTTTCTGGGTTTGTTTTGTTAAGTTTTATTTAATGGTGGGTTTCACTCTATGTCAGAAAACTTTCTTTATGAAAGCTCTTGTTGATCCTGTCATTAGAGCCTGTCTGCTGTAGACCAAATGATACTGATCTACATGAAAGTCTTCCCAGTGCAGGGCTACAGAGTGAAGCCTTAACACAGGGGAGCTTTCATCTCCCCGAGACACATTGATATGAAATACAGCTGCGTCTTTACAGGCAGATATAACAACCTTTTTTTACTCAGTAAGGACTAGATGCAACAACTAAACCAAAACTCCAAACAATAAATGAAAGCATGTTAACAGGAAGCTCTCACTCATTAAAAAAAAAAAAAGAAAAAAAAGGAACTTTTACTTTTTAAAAGCTGATTATTATTTCCTATAGAGGATTTACAAAATAGAACCCTTTGAACCACAAGTGTAGATAATAATACACAGTGTAAGGATGGGGTTTAAAAAAAAGCAAACCTGAATTTCTTTTTTGGTGAACTTGTTTGTGAAAGCTATTACAAAGTAGTTTAAAATGGCAAGGAGAAGGGACCTGAATTTTATTAGATCAGAGATATTTCAGGGCTTTATTGAAATGATTAAAAGAAACATTGGACATGCTGAGTATTTCTAATGCTGTCCCAGAACGGGTTCTTTAAATCTCAGTGTGGTTACTATGTTTAACAAGTTTGTTTTCAACATCTACCTACTATGTGTCTGTGAAAGGCAGGGAGGGTGGAAGAGTATATTGATAGCTTAACTGTATTTTTCCCATTCCTTTGCATTTGCTCCAGCAGCTCTAAAGCAAGTCAGACCCTTAATTAAAGTTGGCTCTCTGAGATTAGGAGGTATACAGTAAATTATTTAAGCAGTTACTAACCAAATGCTTCATTTTCAGACATGGACTTCTGGATGGATCTAAAAGAATTAAAAGAATTTACCATTAGCTGAAAGTCAGAATGAAAAAAATGGAAGTGCATTTAATCAAATATGGGTATTTTCAACTAATTCTTCAAAGCAGGGCACAGGGATTTAGCTGTGCAATTCCCACTGGCTTTAATTGGAGTTACTTGGCTTGTGTCATTCACTCAATCATCTACTCCCACATGATACACAAAGCTCTGAAAGCATCTGAGGTTTCATTCTGCAAAAACAGGTACTCAATTTTATTTTGTAATGAGGAATCTGTGACTGAATCAGGGAATCCATCGGGAAGAAAATAAGAGATACTTTCTTTAGATGTGATCTGAAGTGTCCTACAACTTTTAGAACATATTGTCTGAAGTTTGGTGACATAATAACAGATTGAACCAAAGAGCTACATACATCCCCACAACCTTTAGTGACATTTTATTGCTCGAGTAAACCTTGTTTTTTGCACATTTACATGAGGGAGTAGTCCTAACTCACACTTACATCTGCAGTCAGTAGTTTACAGCTGACGACTTAAAGAATATAGTAACTTAACAGAGGAAAAAGAAATCTTTGAATAAAGATTAATTTTTTTCACTTTATCCATTAAAAACCCAATGGAGAGTAGTTTATGAGCTAAAGGATGAAGCCAGAAGAATATACTGGAAGAGACCAGAGATTCTAATCTGTTACAAAGATCAGCAGAAGGGAAAGAGCACGAAATCTAAGATCCCTCTCCCAACTTCAGGCATGGAAGTGCTGAAGGGCTTCCTGAGCAAGAGGGTGTAACTGAACTATTGGGTTTTTTTAAGGAACTGGTTTGTACCCACTAGTTCCTTTTAAAATCACTTGCATTTCTTTTTTTGTTTTGGCTTCCAGAGTTCCACAATTTAATTCTTATTGCCTAACCAAGGCATACTTCTGTTTATTTTATTTCTGCTACTCTATATAATGTGGTGTTTCTTTGTTGCCCTGACAGAGGAAGGAACAGAGAATGATAATTCTTTGTTCACTTTCTCCAAATCTACTGGAAAGGCCAGTGTGAAAATTTCTGCATTATTACCGGAGATACCATGCCAGGATAGTGATGGCTGGACATTCACAATGAAATAATTTTTGTTACAAAATCTTTTCATGTTGACTCAAACTATTTTCTTCCAGCTTACTCATTTTTTTTTAATTGATCAGTCAAATGGTCTCAACAACCCTTCTAAATTCTTATAACTAACCTAGAATGGATTAAGTTTCAAATAGAATAGTTTTATTTGCATTGAAAAATTTGACACTGTAGCTATAGGTTGCTCTTTTTATTTCTGGGGCAGATAGTTCTGATCTAAGCAGGACACTCTTAGGCATCCAGGTGATTGATGAGAAAACCATGAATAACAGAGTTATGTCCATACTTTAATTAATGAAATTTTGGGAGCACTTTCACGGGGCCCTGGCTGGTGACAGACAGTTGAGATCTCACAGCTCTGAGTGCATACATCTCTGTGATAAGTTACTAGTGTTTTTATCAGATGACCAGAAACAGATTAAAACTGTGACTTAAAACAAAGGAGTTCTTGATTTTCTTAGAAATCTTTATCTGTTTTGAGATTTCTTAGCAATAGGCACAGATAACATTAATGTTCTGAATCTAGTGGAGCCCCACCTACAAATGAAAAAAACCCAAAAACTCCAGGGATTTTCATGTCTGTCAGAGCAGACAGATTAGATCTGTCTCTATCATTCCATTAGGTAGGATTTCAGATTTCGTCTGAAGGAGACCACTACAGTAATGCAATATCCTTCAACCTGAAGCCAAAAAAAAAAAAGAATTTTCAAAATAAATTCCTCTGCCTGCTAGTACATATTAATCATTAGCCCCAACCATAAGCATTGTGTTTTAACAAATGGATGCAAAGCATGCTGCTGTCACAAATATAATTCATAAAATACTGTCTGACCTGCTTTATCTGAATCATTTTGCAAACTAATTTTTTACTTAGATTAAAAACATAAACAAACAAACAAAAAACCCTCCTCAGGAGATTATCAGGTCAATGGTGCAAACATGCTATAAAATAGGTTACCACTTCAATCTTTCAGAAAAGGAGACATATGGTTAAACCAAGCCCAGATTAACTGCATTTGATTTTAGCTGTCCTGGTTCTGATATTTTGGAAGAAAGATTTGTGTATATGAAAAAATCATGGCAAAAGAGCTTTAGTAATGCATTACAAGCTTGTTACGTGCTTTTCAGCTGCAACATTAATACATGTACTTTATGAGAATCAAAGCAACATTGGCAAACATTAATAAAACAACAAGGATGAAAGGTACAGACAAATATAGTGACACTGTGTAGACCTTGAACTGGTCTCAACTTACTTTCTTTTTTTGGTCACTGTGTTCTCAAAGTCAGGAAATTCCTTTTAAAAAGATAGAGAAAAAAATCTATGAAAATCAAAAAGGTTTAATCCAAATATAATATTTTTGTCAGTGATAAGACAATGAGTTATGTACTTTTGATGTGTGTTTTTAATATCCACTAGCATTTCCAGTCTTTCTTTTTCCAACAGCTGAAGTTGTGGCAGAGAATATATGTAGTTATGTGTCCTGATTTTAGGAAGCTTCAATATCCATGGCTCCCAAGAAGTTGATAACCATAATACCTCTGATAAAAACCAGAGAATCATACTCATACCCCAATAATTAATATCATATTTCTTCCATAGTATGATTATTTTAAATTTTATGAGGATTAGAATGCCCACACATTATAATGGGATGTGGTTTTCTGATGAACACAGGACACACACCCTTTAAACCCATTACATGCAGAGGAATGTGGAAGAGTGCAAGAAACTGTAAATAAAATTGAAAGTTGTGTAAAGCTCTGAGTGGGACCATCAGAATCAAGCACTGACCTGGAGGAAAGATCACACAGAGCCCAGGATCCAGCCAATATATATACCCTGACAAGATGTGGGAAGGATTGTGTAGCTGTTGAAAGAGTGAAAAAAAGGATGCCTCACCAGGCAAATAATGGCAAAACATCTCAATGCATGTTTGCTGTCACAGTTAACCGGGGACTTGAAGGTAATTTTAGTTGTAAGAAAACCTGAGGATGTCATGCTAGGACAGAAGAGATCTCTAGTCCCTGTAATATTTTGATATCCCCTAAGACAGAATATCAAAGCACTGCATCACTTTCATATCTATTTCTTCCAGCCTGGAAAGCAGGAAGTGGGATAAAAATGTCCATGATGATACCACTTCAATCTGTTGTGCAACAAGAGACATTAAAACAAAGTATAACCATTCTTAATTTTATAAATATGAAAACCTCAGTGTATGGACCCATTTCTCATAAAATGTTTAAGTTATTTCCTTCATGTAACACTATCTACATCTTCATGACTGACCACAGTAAAATTTAAAAGTGTCATCCAGGTTGCTTGATGAAAAGCCAAGCCATGTACTACATTAAACTATGTCAGTGCATAACTGAGCATTCTATATTTTTTCTCTTCTCTCAGTAAAACCCATCAGAGTTTTTTCAAGCTTCTTCAGGAGAGTGCATTAAGAAAAGGCTGTTCTCCTGCACTGAGTTATTTTAGCTGAGTGTAGGAGGTCCTTCTGGCCAGGATATTCATGAATGTTAATAATTGTATGCAGTTTCCTCACAGCTTTGGGGTTTTTGCATGTATTGATATTTTCACAGATGCTGCGTGCAAATCAAAAGAGTATATAGAATTTATCATCCACTTCGAAATAATGTAAGCATAGTAAGATAATTTTATTGTTGAAAAGAAAAAAAAATCAGCATCTTAGTCCTGGGACAAATCTTTTCAATAGCTCAAGAGAAATTACTAGATGAGGTGCATAAGCAACACAGAGAAGTTGAAAAATGTTTAAAAAAGCGATTTTAAGTCTTATTTAAAAGGGTAGTGTCAAAATCTCATTAAAAAATATCAAATATTTTATTTCAAAGAGGCTTATTAAAGCAAGCATTATGCATGGAGGTCAGAGACCAAAGGAGATATTGTAAGTTAAAAATCTGTATATGATCCAGGGAAAAAGTTGGAGATAGGATCCTCTCTAAACCCCAATGTGGCCATATGCCTGGAAAGACTACTAATTCATAACTTCACATGCAAAACACCTGGTGAGAATCATGAAACACGGGTTTAATCTCTTGCTGCATGATTTGAAACCAAATTTCCTGGGTTTCCTAAAGTCCAGCAAAATCACATTGATGACAATACATCATACACTGAGGTGATAACTGATGTGAGTTCACTGGATATCATGGGATGCAGTGCCAAAATGAAATATGATAGTGGATTTAAATGGCCATTTAAAAATGGCATCTTTCATTGAACACACCCTTCCTGCTATTTCTGAATCAGCTGGCTAAATTGAAGTACAAGAATAAATTACTGTTGTTTGTACTTTTTTAATGTATCTTTTCAGCATTGATTACACTTAAAATTGTGCGTAACTTTAACGTTAAACTAGTTTTTAGAAACTTATTTTATCTTAGCATGTAAATTAAGGTTCACCTAGACTCTCCAAAGACTCACCTAGATTCTCCAAAGAGCATAATTACCTTGTTTATGGGAACAACTCTTTCCTTCCCTACCCCAAATGAGAACAATCTGTTTCCTAGAAACAAACTGCACATGTGGAAATCGAGCATGATAAAATTATTGAAAAAGTCCTTTCTTCCCTGATTTCATCAAATAACTCTGAAATAAGGAGTTGAATTAGTCCCTCCAGTGCTTCCAAGCTGGCTGAGAAAACTCCTGTTTCTGTTAAGACTTGCAAACAGGGAAATGATAATTTCGGATAACTAGCACTCTTCTTTCCCTCGCTGAAATCAAATGCCAATTATAACGCTGCAGATTAAAGCAGGTACCACAAAGGATTGTGATTTTCCTGGCAGCAACTTAGAAAGACCGACAAGTTATTTGGCCCTTTTCTGCCATACAGGGTAGTCAATCATATCACGGTCAGCGGTTGAAAAATATGTGGATCTCATGACATTTGGTGATTGCAGTCTGACAGGAAATATATGAAAATAGTTTTAATGCTGGAGACTCTTTTCTTAGGAGCCTGAGACAGCTCATGAGGTAGAAGACTGCAACAGCAAGCTACAAGGGGCAGAAGTTCAGTTTCCCAGTTAACAGCACAGTTACAGGCAAAGAGCACCCATCTGATTTATTATGTGCTGATGGCTACCAGCTGTTTCTGAGGAAGGTCCAATTCAGATTTGCTATGCATGAAGTCCAAAAACAACTCCATAAATCTAAATTCTGTCTGAGAATATTACTGAAGCTGAGCAACAGGCAAAGTAACCACAAAGTTAACAGGGCAATTCCCCAAGAGGATTCAAATCAAAAGGCAAGTGCATGTAACAGGCCCGAGACAGTACCACAGAAACCCAGAGTGGGAACAGCCCAGGCAAATTCTGTAAACAAAACAGGTGTCCTCAATTATGTGAAGGAGAACAGTGTAAATGAAAGGGAGATTATTCTTCATTCAGGATGTGCCATTTGGGAAGATACTTGGCCAGAAGCAAAGAGATCCATGGTTCAAAAAAAGGTGTCCAAGGAGTATGTTCACTGAATTATGTCCTGCACAGCTTCAGTGACCACAGTACTCTATATTTCCTACGTCTCTAGAAGAATGTCACAGGTCAGCTGTGATTAGGACAAATCACCCCAGACAAGATAACTGCAAGAAAATAACTATCTTGTTGCAATATAAGGAAAAATTTTCTCTAGCCCTAGTCACCCTTTTTAAAATTGAGGAGAGCACACCTTGGAGCGCCTGCTCTGTTGATTTTGAAGTTGTATAAGAAAAAGGAAGGGGTCAAAGCCTCCTGAGGGGGAAGTGTGCCATGCCAGGTTGCTCCACCCTTAGGAGGTTTAACAGCTCAGTGGAATCTGCCGTGCCTCAGCCAAGCATTTAAACACACACTCGAGCCCACACCTACTTAGCAGTGCACTTAAGTACGTGCATTACTGAGTAATGATGGATGGCTAAATGGAGTCAATAATGTTCTGAATTTATCACACTGTGGGGGCTGCCCCGCAGCCTGGAACCAAGTGACGGAATTAAAAATAGGGGAGAAGTACAAATGGGCTCAGTTAATAAGCTTAACAGCTTCATCCAAGGTGTAGGTCTAATAACTCACATGCTAGAAATAGCAGATAAGATTACACACAGGCCTTTGGCCTCAGTGACATTTTTCCATAGGTCTTACTGCCGACACGTCATCACTAATCTTGTTTTCCATTTCTAGAGAGTATTTTGTAAATAATCATGTTGATTCTACAGCCAGCACAGTGACACAGCATCCAGCCGTTATTTTTAGTTAAGTGCTGAGCTGAATATTCTCTCAAAACAGAAAATAAAACCCACAGCCAGTCTTAGGAAGCTTCCTCATGAGCCAACAGTGTGCTTACCCATTTAGTATTGGTTTTTATTGATGATGAATTTTACATTTAGTGATGAGTAAATGGGCCATCACTAAAACATCCCCTTTAAGAAAACAAATATATATGATAAGAGCTAGCAGAAACTAAAGTTCTGGATTCTTCTATTCACTGCTGTACATGTATCTTCATGGACTGTGCAGTGCCATCCCACAAAACACAGCAATAAGCAACGTGAGAGAGGTTTTGCTACAGTTTGTTCAGATTAATGTACAGGACTTTCTAATCTACACTAGTAGCAAATCTGTTTCTCTAGGTTGGCCCAATGAAAATAAAAATCTGTATTGGATAGGTTAATTATTTTTACTTAGCCAAATAATTGATGAAGCCTAACTCTACACTGATACAATGAAAAGTCTGAAGTAATGCTGTCAAATCAAAAAAACAGAATAAAACAAGAAAAAAAAACACAAGAAAAAGCAAGAAACAAGAAGCCTGATGTAAACAACCACTGCAGTTTTACTTCTTAGTCTTACACATCATGAAAACCATAGCAGAGCACAGTGCTATGGATGTACCATACCCTGAGAAGATAAAGGGCAATTTCTTGTAGTTATCTATTGCGGGGTCTATTAAGGCAGCATATGTCACATTCTGGGTACAAGCAAAAAAACCAAATCTTGTTTTTTCATTTAACTTTGTTTAAATACTGCTCCTGTCAGATAAACATCTATTGGCCAAGGAAATATTAGTATAGCAGTCATTAAATATTAAGTTAGTTTGTAGTCATGGCAAAGGAGAAAATGAATGGATGCAGGAGCTCTACTATAATATCCACCTTTAGACACTAGGAATGTAGAATGGCATGTTTCAATATAGTTGTAACAGAGATTATTAAAGGAATAAGATTATGAAATTTAATATACTATTTTAAAGTATTTGCCAAAGTTTCAGTTATATGTTATACCAAGAGCACACCAATAATAAAAAATTAAGTGGGATAACATTGTTTAGGAAGAAAAAAAATGTAAAAAACAGAAGACAACTCTCTTCACACATTTACCTAACAAGGTCTTGTAAAATGTAAAGGTTGTTCCAGAGGCCATCAGTTACAAAATTCATACAACTCAAACTCTTTAGAAATGCACTTTTTTAATTAATAAAAAGGACAACCAAAGACACCAATAGGATCTCATTTAGAGACAAACTATTCTAATATCTGTTCCCAGCATTTTCATATGTTACTATTTGCAAAGAGAAATTCCCTCGTAGACTGAAGCTACACTAATCTCCCTGTGCTACTAACTGTAGAGAAACTCATGACCTGCTTTTCAAGTGTGTTTGTTAAGACTGGACAGAAATCAGGTCACTGGCTACAGAGATGAGATTTGAACAGTGGCTCTAAAGAGCCTAAATAGCCCAAAATGGCAGAGAAGCCAGCAGAACACGTGTCCACATAGAGAGTAATAGTTTTTTTGCAAAAGGCATTGCATGCTTTGCAATTAAATGTTACTTACCAAAGACTTAGACCTATCAGGTGGTCCACAGTTCAGAGGTGGGCTCGCTGGAGTGCTAGCCTGGCTGTCAGTAGTAGTTGTATCCTTGGGTTCCTGATGTTCTGGGACAGGCTCATACAAGCTGTCCATTGAGCCCTCCTAAAATAGTTAAACAGATTTTCAAAGATGAACACTTGTAAACATATTAAATTATTAATAATTTAAAAAAGCAAGACGTTTCTGTGATTTACGAAACTGAGTGTGTTTTTCCTCTCCTCTCTTTTTAAATCCTTTATTTAGTTCTTTCTCTAAAAAGGCATATAGAAGTCAATTATAGTAAGTACCCAAATGCCAGAGTTCACAGTATCATGACTTAGATTCCACAGATTGCCAGATGTAAAACTGAGGGTACAGCAAAAATGAATATTATCTGCTCAGGAGTAAAATCAGGGGTATATGTCCACTTGAGCACTACATGAAAATTCCTGTGAAAACTACAAAAACTAGAAACCATGAAAATTTCTGTATGAGCTATTTTATAGTTAGTACTTCTTTATGTGAAAAAAAAGGTTAATCTGATGCAGAAAGGTAGCTCCATTCCTTAGAAATAAAGAGAAACAATGCTGCCAGCTCCCAAAATTTGATAATCATGATTTAGGCCCCCAAAATAATGATAATGAGTAAAATTAAAAATAAATTCCATTTGCATTCAAATTTTTGAACTCCATGTTTTAATGTGCATGTAAGGTTCTTTTTCTCCAACCACCATGAATATAAACACTGTAATAGAAACTAAGATTTTTCACATTTATCCCACAACTCCAAGAACCAGGATTACATATACACACTGCCATTTCATAATTCAAGAGTTAAATGAAGGCAGATGGCAACACTAAAGACACTCTAACTGATGATCCCACATTTTAGATGTTGCCATTTTGATCTGCACTGAATATTTTCCCAATGAATTTTGATTACTAATTTTAATTGCATTAATTAAGGAATAAATCAAATTTATAGCAGTATGACAGAGCAGAGCAATGCTATTGAAATTAACATTTCAATTTCATTATTATTATTTAAAGGCATCTGTTACTTTAGCACAGAAGATAAACACAGATGTATATTTGAAGTTATACTGTTAATATGTAAAATTTTACAGGAAATATTTTTGGCTGGAGAGGCAGCAGTTCAAAGACATGACTAATTTTTGCAAGCATAATGTTTATCTATGCATCTTTATTTGCTTCAGTCTACCAGAGTTTTGATAAGCCCAAATTGATGTTTTGGGGGAAATATTATATATTGTTCTTGAAAACACTCAAGTTATGTATTTGAGCCTATTGTAGGAACTAATATGTTAATGCTTCCTGGGACACTGTTGCCTGGTTTATGAAACACACTGCACATGGATGTGAGAACATCCAGCTGAGCCTTGGTTTTGACAGCAACTGTGTTTTTTTATTACTGCATTTATTTTTTATTTCTCAGTATTTCGCCATATAGCAGTGATGGTTCAGCTCCTTGTCTGAAGTTGTGGATTGAGCATTTCTAGAAAAAAAATTATGAGTTTAAAACATTATTACAAACTTCCAGAATTCTCCAACGTAAAATGTGACCACATACTTCTCCCTCCACAGGGAATAACACATGACTTTTGTGAAGAGAGCATTTAATTAAGAGACAGAAGCATAAAGGAGAGCTCATGTGAAAGGGAGCAGGAGAGAGATAAAAAGGGAAAGAAAAGAGAGGGCAAGGAAGAGTGAAAGGAGAGAGAGGGGGGAGAGAAGAAAGGTAAGAAAGGAAAGTAAAAGAAGACAGAAAGAGAAAAGAGAGAAAGGGAGGCAAAGAGTGAGGATAAGAGAGGCAGGAGATGAGGAAAGATAAGAGGAGAAACAATGAGAGAGAAAGGGAGAAAGAGCATACTGGGGAGCATGTGGGAATTAGTCCTTGAGAAATGGAGAGTGTGAGAAAGAGCTGAAGCAAGAAAGAGAAATCTTGTGTGAGAAACATGGAGCTCAAGGCTGCAAGAAAGGGTGGGCACATAAGAAAAAGCAAGTATGCACAAAAAAAGCAAGTCCATGTGAAAGAGGGAGGGCACAGGGAGTGGGATGTGCACAAAGAATTATGGGAGAATGAGAATGAGTGCAAGAAGTGGAGGACATGGGAAAGCAGGAGTGCACGTGAGAAAGAACACAAGAAAAATGACCATGTGCAAGAAGGAACAGGCACAATAAGAGGTGTGTGTGTGTGAGGGCACAGGAAAGCAAGTTAATGTGAGAAAGTGCAAGTGTGCAAGAAAGAGTTTGAGTGTGTGAGCTGGAAAGGAAGAGGTAGTGTCTGAAAGATAGCAAGACTGAAGAAAAATGAAGGGGAAGAGGTGGAAATACAGGGAGACAGAACAGAGCAGAGAGTTAAAGCTCAAAAAGAGACTGGGAGAGGAACCACACCAGAAACCAAGAGAGAACATGGCAGAAAAAGGGAAAGCATGCATGAAAAAATGGGTGTGGGAGAATGAGAAGGAACAAGGATGAGGTTGAGAGAAAGGGTGTGAGGTCATAAGAAAAGGGTGGTGTCAGGAGAATGGGGGGTTGTTGGAGTAAGGACATGAGAAAGAGAACAGGTTGAAAGAAAGAACAAGGACAAGAAAGAGAGAAAGAGCAAGTGCTTGGGGAGGGGAATGCAGGGGGAAGAGGTCCCCCAAGAAAGGAAGCTCTCAAGAATGAGAGACAGGAAGTTTTCATGACAAAGAATGCACATAAGAAAGGATGGGTGTGAGGGCATAAGAAAAAGAGCATCCAAGAAATAAGGGAAAGCAAGCAGGAAAGAAAGAGCAAGGTTGCTAGAACAGGGAAGGGCATAACAAGTAACAAGAACACATGAAAATGAGCTAAAGAGTGAGCAGATTAAAGAGTGATAGAGAAGGAGAGACAGAGGAGGAGGTGATTTGAGGAGAGGGAAAGAAACAGAATGGTGAATTGCGAAAGAGAAAGAGTGGGAAAAGAGGAAGAGAAAGAGGGTGTAAGAAGGAAAGAGGGAAAAGAGCAAGGTGGACAGTGAGGGAGCATGAATGAGGGAGATTGCGAGGGAAGCAGAGCACACTGCTAAGCCAGAATGTTTAGGAAAGAGAGGTGATGTGAGAAAGTGAGCACAAGAACACAAGTCAGCAAGAACAATGTTGCAAGAAAAGGTGCCACACCATGAGAAAAAGGGAAATGTTGCAGAAATGGGGGCATGGACATGAGAAAGGGTACAAGGGCACAAAAAGGGTGCAATGGTATAAGAGAGGGAGTGAGAACAAGCACAAGTGGGCAAGGAAAAGCACGATCATGTGTGATAAAGAGCGAGTGTACATGAGGAAGTGCATGTGTGCATCTGAGAGAGGGAGTTAGAGATGTGAGAAAGGGAAAGAAGAAGAGGCAAAAAGAAAGAAGGATAGAGTAGAGAAGAAGTAGAGGGAAGAGGGAGTAGAATGGAGAAAGAGAGAACTCACGAGAGAGGGAGTTTGTGTGTAAAGAACAGGGAGGGTGTGGAATGGAGAGAGATCATATGCATGGGAGTGGGAGTGCAAGAGCAGGTGAAAGAGTTAGAGTGAGGTTGAAAATAAGGTTCAAGGAAAAGCATGGATGTGAGACAGATCTGGAAGAAAATAATTGTCTGTAGCTCTTTCTTTTGCATGATATTATTATCATCTTGGCATACAGAGACTAGATTGATCATAAGGAGGAGAGGAGCATTTAGTAATGCAGCCAGGCCATTCTGCAGATCAGGTTTAAATGTGGACTCCTGTGTATGGTGAAATCCAGCTAAAATGAACAAGGAGTATATGGAGATGATTATATGGGAAGCACTACAAAGTTCAACCACTCAGATCTCTTCTGCTCACGTTACAATTTAGAGGATGGTCTTTCCACATTCAGGTAATTCTTCTTTGTTAAAACACATATTTTTAAGTCCCATCCATTTCTAAGTACCATCATGTCCCAGTAGCCATAGCAGCATTGGCATCTTTCTATTTACTTTATGGTTTCTTTAACATATAGAGGCTCCACTAGTTCATAATTTATCCACTACATCACTTTTATTAATACTTATTCTCTCTGCATCTTGCACCATAGAAACATTAGCTTTTAGTGCCAAAGCCTCTTTCAGTTTATAGCATTAGATGTAACACATTTTACATTGTGCTGTCACCACATCCTTACACCAACAATGAAAATAAAATGTAGAACTAGTTCAATGCTACTGAAAATCACTAAGACGATTAGACTTTCCCTCAGTACTTTATATTTTACTAGCAAAAGTGGTGGTTAGAAAGCTACCATATGGGAGAAAAATAGACAAATGAAAGTGATCTTATTTGGCTTAAACCCTAAGACAAGTGCTCAACTGGACAAGACTGTGATTAGGAGTGTCACAGCCTTTTTCTACTGACCTTCTTACATGGATTTCTGCTATACAAGAGGTTGACACTACCTAAGTATCTGAAATACTTCCCTGTCTTCATTAGTTCCATTACTAATGCCACTGTTTACTGTCAAAGTAGGTAGGACCTAGTCTTTCAGTATTGCCTTGTGCAAGGAAGATTTTCGTGCCCCTCACATCCACTTTCTTACGGAAACTTGGCTGAAATAATGGGGTTTGGGATTTTTTTGAAACAGAGATACATTTTCCTGTATCTCTCTTAGTAAATGAAATTATGGACAAGAATGAACCAGGTGTGATCATCTGCACTGGTACCCCCTGCCAGAACAGTCCCTGGCCCACGCTTGTCTTATGTCAGCTAACAGACACCCAAACGATCCCTTGGCACATTTGTTAAAACACCATCAGAACTATACTTGACAGGCAGGTTGCCTGCAGCCACCTTGTTTTTGAGGGTTTGCTACAACAGGCACAGGTACTTGTCCCGGGGCACATTCCAAAAGTGTGTGCTTTATTAATTGGAGCCTGTATAAAGAAATATCTGCAAAGCCTGTTATTTGGGCTAAGTGTAGAACCGTGGTCAAAGATGGCCCCATCTAAGGAGGCACTTCTGCTGCTTCCAGGAGTAAATGCTACCAAAACAGTAAAACCCATCAAGAAATAGTAGGATAGGTTTAACTGACAATGTTCCAGGTGAATTGGTGCTAACCCCAGTGTGCATATCCTTCATACTGGAGACCCGATACAGGAAAATAGCGCAAGAAAAATATTCTACCTTAATTAAAGGACTTCATAATTCAATAATAACTCTTATTTCTCAGATTTGTAGGATTCTGAAATGTTTTAGGCAGGGTATCAAAACAGATGGTTTGGTGAAATAATTCCTTGCAATTCATACAGAAGCAGTACTTGATTTGGACCCCTCTCTGTATATTGCCCATAATACAAAGAGAATTGTTCTGATTCAATTGTCTGACACGCTAAGTACCATGAGATGGAAAAGACACTGCAAATTCAGGGTCTAAGGTTGACCTTTTAACATAATATATCTACAAAAGAAGGGACATTCATCCATTTGATTATTTTGTAAATGGAAGAGGGACACAAGGTTTTGAAGGCAAATCTAATTTGCCTGCAAATCCCTTGAGACCAAGGCAATGAGTCTGATGCAAAAAAAATCTCAGTGGAGAAACCAAATCATTTTGAAGTCAACTCAGGACACAAAGAACTGCTGGGGAAGCATGCTATGCTGGAACACTCCTACTAGGAGATCAAAGAACTCCCAGGTGATGACAGAGGGGAGTAATTTCTGGCTGCCTCCTTGGGAAGGGCAGAGTCCAGTTCAGCCTCCAAAGCCCCTACAACCATCTTGTGACTACTGTGTGTCTTCAGCCTCCATGTCACCATTTGCTACACTGGCCATAACACTGTGTCTCTCCTGCTAAAACTGCTTCAGTTCTATGGACAGGTAGGAAAGCAAACCCACAAAGAATCAAAGTCAACAGCACGAACTAATGTTCTTTTAACTACGCTGGTGTTCCTCCTCTTTGGATGAACCAGAAGCCTGGATATACTCTGTTTTTAAACAGAATATTCTTGTAATTACCCTCAGGTTGTAGATTACTTCAACCACTATACTCTGTAGGGTAGAGAACTATTTTCTGAGCTATAAAACAATGTCTTTTAACAACATATGCATATGTACACACATATATACATGCAAGAACACACACTTTGCAGTCTGAAATCTTGTCAGTCAGTCTGTATGAGGTAAACACTTGCATGAGAATACTAATTTTTTTTGACAGTTCTTTTTGTTCTGTCAATAATCTAAATTTCTCTTCCATGGTTTCAGGTTTAGCAGTTGCTCCAGATGTTCACTTGATGTAAATCAGCTGTGATTTCTATTCATCAGTGGCTGTTAGTATCTGCTAAAGAACCTGACTCCTCTAGCATCTTTAAAAGTTGTCTTTAAATTCTAATTATGTTGTTGCTGTGCATTATTTCTTACTTGATTCACTTGAATAGAAAAATACCCTTATATTGCTACTTCAACCACTTTTCAGCCTGTCTTTTCAAGTCACAAGTCGACAGAGTAAAAGTGGCTAGTGTACATCCTTGGATCACTAACTCATTTCCAAGCTAGACAATCTGATTACAGAAAGCAACTGCACTGCATCACATGCATAGGGAGGACTGCACAGGGCTCTTCACTTTATGAAACACATAAATGACCTATAAACTATCTTTAGATGTTGATAACTTGGGATGTGTTTTTCTGGGTGTGCAAAAGGTTACCAAAGCGGACAGAATGGTTCCCATGTAAAGCTTGTAAGGAACAGAGGTTATCTTCTTAGCAGCAGTCTTTAAACAGAACTAATTATTTCATTACAGAAACTATCATGGCACCAGCTTTCACTTGTCTGAACCATCCATTATTACTGCAGTCATTACCTCTCCCACAGAAACCTGGGTTGCCTTTCTCTCACCCACACAACCCACCTGACATTTTGCCTAAACGTTGATTTCTCAACTGATACAAGGGTCAACACCTCTTTTAAAAGTGAATTACATAGAAAACAAGAAGCTGCTCCAAGGGAGCAGTAAAATACTGGTAGAACAGTTCTTTCCCAAAGAACTTCAAAAATGAGTATTTTCAAGCTGTTACAGCTTGTACCACGAAGCCATTGTTAACTTTGAACAAATACACAGGCATTCACATTAAACTATGATCAAAATTTTCATCGAATTCCCAGGGTATTATTTTTCTGAGTCACTCTTGCCACAGAATCCCAAAATACCACTGCATTTTACTTTAAGTACAAAACAGCTTTTAATCCTTACGATCTAGAAAACACCAGTACTCTGCAGTAAGGTAGCATTAGCAATCAGGAGCAATGGTTTGCACAAAGCAGCTTCCCTATTTCAGTTTGTGTTAGTGCAGCTTGAATATTGATTTTTATTGTTCTTTCTAAACATATGGAGAAGATATACTAAACGTCTGGACAAAAGATGAAAAATGGGCAATCAGATCTACTGTGCTGTGTAAATACAGCAAATATACCCAGCTAATTACCATTACTAATACTGGGCATTGGTATTGGCAGATGGTTAAGCTTTTAAACCAGAAACAGTTTCTGTGGATTTCCTATCCTGATTTACCTGCTCATTCTGAGCAGTTGCCTTGGGGCAAGGAAAGAGGAAAAAAAAAAAAAAAGAAGGAGAGAAAGTGAAAAAACCCAAACAACCCCAACTAAAGAGGAACTTAAGTCCTCTGTCTGTGAGCAAATATTACCATATGACTAAATTAGCCCTTATGAGTATCTATTCATGGTTGGGTAATAGAAAGCTATTATTTGAAAAGTTCTGGTAGTTCTCTCAAATTACTGAAGAAGGGAAACAGATACTATCATCTAAAAAAAAAAAAAAATCCTAGCCTAAAGCAAATTATAACATACACATATTATTAGTAATCTTAACTTATATATGAGGCGTTTCACTGTGTTTGGATGAAATGCCTCATGTCTAAATCTGCATTGTTTTGCAATAGTCACAGATAGTGCATGGTACATTTGTTATACAGTCTTTGCACCATATTTTTACTGAATCATATTTTGCTATGCATAATTTCTCATACAAAAACTCCTTCATCTAGGCTAGAGAGACCTGTCGTTGTCAATACAACCCTTGCACAGTTCGTGATATAAAACCTTCCTTATTGTTCCATCGAAACACACCCACCAGTTCAGTTTCTGAACTCAGTAATCCACTAAATAAAAACACGTGTGTGTGCACTTACCAGAGAAAAACAGAAAAGGTTCATGTTGGTATTGAGATCCACTCCAGCGCCCTAAAACTCCGCTCGACAAACTCCCGCCGCACAATGCAGCTCCTTCTTGCTCTCCCAGCTGTTTGTACGTTTCCCCCGGAGATTACTGCAAGATAAAATCCCTGCAATAATCCACTGGATTCAGAGCCCATTATCAAATGAGACAGGCTTCCCCAGGCCAGTACAAACTGCTTTCTGAATTAAAGAACAGTGTTTACTAACAAAACATAAGCATGGTCTGAATGATTTCCACGAACTTAGAAAACGCTCTCTTTGCAGGCTATTGTTTCCATTAAAGTTTGTCATCCAACAGAAGTAAAGCTCTTTCTGTCTGAGACCACTGAAACACACAGCTTACTCCAAGGCAAATCTTCTCAGCTTACTCAGATTATCAAGAGACACACAGAAATTCTCATGAAATACTGGTTTCCTATACATATGAATTAATTTACAAAATTCAGCAATTATTATTGACTACATTTTAAAAGGAAGTATCTTACTTATGGACCATGGGACACAAAAAACCCCAAAACCTGTGAGCCACAACCAAATCATTAAAAAAACCCACAACTAACCAAACAACCATACAAACCCCTCACACTCTGGGGCTGTGCACTAAAGAATAGTTACCAAACCGGTGCCTGGCATGTTGACTGCTTGATGATGAAGATTAGGACTAAACCAATTTTGTTGTTTGAAAACATGGCAAATCTGGAAAATAAAAGATTGGGAGTGGTCAAAGCTGATCCATGGGCTAGTGTTATTATAATGTATACAGACAGGCAAACAAGGAATAAGCAATTGTAAAGAAAAACAGTAGCCTATGTCACTAGCTGGTCTAAATTAGGAAAATTTCATCACCTGTTGTGGAGTGAAATTGTCTGACAAAGAATTAATGATGAAAGCAGTGTAAGCCTCAACTTTTTTCAGATTATAAAATACTTGAAATAAGACTGGTTTTGGAATAATACTGCTCACCAAACCACAATTAATTTCCTACAGCTTTCATGCAAATATTATGAAATTTGCTTACATAGTACCAAAAAGATAAGCTGAAGTTCACCACAAATGGAAAGGTAGTGTTATTTTGTGACCAGAATCTTCATTTCCTTCTTTGAGCCCAGAGCTTTATATTTGTAAATGACAGGCAACTCATTCATCACTCATACTTCTGACTACTTCAGTTCATTATATTAATTTTCCAGTTGAATCTGCATCCCAGTGAAATTGAAATGTCTGTACTTTGTCAGAATAAATACATTTTAACATAAGTTAGTTTCCTCTCTGAGCAAAACCCAAACAAGGCTCATACAAACCAACAAACACCAGAGGACAGATAAGATTCGAGATTTCAAAAGAAAAAGATCTTTGGTTTGCACTTTTCCAATTTGCTGTGAATTATACAAAAGACTTTTTGAAGGCTTTCCCCAGGCTTCCTTTTCAGTTCTAATTTCAGGTTGATTTCATGTATTAGAAAAGTAGAGTTGGTTATGAGGAGCTTTGTGACAAATGTTATAGTTTAGAAGCAAATTAATGAGAGATTTCTCATTTACTCCTCATATAAACTTGAGAAACAGTAACAGATTTTGTCAATTACCACCTAGTGATGCTTCCCTAATGTGATTACACAAAAATAGACATTTGAGAGGCCTAGCTTGCCACAGATGGGCTTGCATTTGCTTTATGGCTCACTTGCTGGTTTCCTTGTGAAGGAGCAAGTTCTTATCCTTCCCATGCCTCAGGTTCTCCAGCTGGAAATCTTAACTAAGAGCACAAACCTCATGTGCAAAGTACTGTGAAAGTAATGATCAAAAGCACCCTTTCCCAGCTACAGAGAATTACTTTTTTTTTTCCTTTAATGCCTATTTACAGTAATATCTATCTGGAAAACTCCAGAAAGACTGAAGAGCTAGTAAAATGACAATAAGTAACTCAGGAGAATGTGTCTTTCATTCAGATCAATTTAATCTCTTGATTTTAGATTGCAGCTTTTGAGGTGATTTGGCTACTTATATTTAAAGCCTTTAGGGGGAAGTTTCTGAATTTTATGCCACAGATCCTCAAGGTAAGGGTGACCAAGAAAGCTTCGACCTTACACTGAGCTATTAAATTTTCATTTTGCTTATATTTGTAGACATACAGAAAAGAGAATAATTCAAGAAGAAAATCAAAATATAAAAAGAAGTCTATATTCACAGCTAGAGATACACACATATGGCAAGCAACTATGGTAGGAAGGTAAAAGTGCAGAGCTGTACAAGAGAGATAAATGCTCATCTGAAACTTTCTAAGGCATTGGGCCAACTCTAGTTTCAGTTGTTCCTGCTTCACCATTTGGACAGGTGCAATTCATCACATCAGGCTCGAAATCTCACAAGGTAGGCACGATGTCACTGGAGTGAAATGTGAAAACCAGAGGCAAGTTTTTCACAAACACAGAGCTGGAGATTAAAGCTGGGAATTATCCTGGGTTGGACTCTGTGGATGTGTCTCCTGAGTGCACAGCCTGGATTGCTTATTTGACTTCCTTTATTCTCCAAAAAGCAGACCTCCAGCATTCAGTTGCTCTCATTCTACATCCTGGTGCATTCATCCTTCTGTTTCCAGCTGTATTAGCTCTCTGTCTGTGTCTGTATTGAAGGCGTTATGGTGACAGTACTTGGTGAAAGTTATTCCAGTCAGGTTTAAAATGTTCAGTTCAAATATCCTGCTTGAGAAACAGAAGTTTAACCCGCTCTGATTTCCATTCTGCTGGGCCAATGGCTTTACAAGAAACAGCTTTCAGTGAAGACTTCAAGGGGGATCCCAAAGCACTGTTGTAGATATTCTGGATGCAAGCCACTAAAACCCTGAGACTAAAGATTGCAAATTTATTACATGTTTTTGAGTACTGTCAGTGTTAGGACTCTTCTTATGAAAGGGTAACATTTTAGACATCTACTATTCACTAATACAGCCTTCTGCAAGGGTGTGTTTTGTTGATAGGTGTAAACTATAGGTGATATTATCCAGCAGGTTCCAGTCCTTGACTAACATATAAATTACAAACTGTGAGGGAACACTTACTATAATAATTAAAATAAGAAACAACAGCTTATGATTGGTTTATCAGGATGAATAATATAAATATACCCAGCAGGAATTTATAACGCCACTTGATATCACAGCCATCTGTGTCAAGAATTTGAGCTCTGAATATAATTAAAAAACAGTAACTAAGTAGACAAAATTTGAAGGTAACATCAGAGTTGTGACATCTATGTACATTTTATCTGGTATAAATAGAGAAATTTGCTGCAGCAGTAGCATAACAGAACAGCAAACCCACACTATAATGAGGGTACGAGAATCAGTTTCATCAAACAGGAAACACTTGAACCTTCATTTCCAAGCTCTAATCTTGAACCACTCTTAGCATTGAATGCTCTTTCTTCACTGCTACATGATTTCTACATGCTTGGGCTCTATACCCTTGCCAAAAAAAAAAAATAACCCCCAAAAAACCCCACACAAATCAAGTCTTTGATATGTTGAGTTTTCTATTCCTGCACAATGAATGGACTTCACAGCTGAGATCTCTAGGCATCCTTGGCCTTTTCAGGAGACTGGATTTCAGCTGTGTATTCAGAGTAAGTGGCAATCCATAATCTAACAAGCTGGTAAAGCTGAGCCATGATGAAGGCACTCACAATTGGGCACTGCCTCCAGTCTTGCAGTGCAGTGACAGCCATTCTATTGGTGCAGCTTCATCTGCCACTGGAAGAACTCATCAGCAGGACTGTGTAATTCACAGATTTCTTTGGTTTGCTGGACAAAGGAAAAATAATGTATTAGTAGTTGTTAACTTGGACACATTTCAGCAAATTTGGAACTAACATTTACTCCTATTTTCTTCCTCCTTTCTTTATTCCTCTTACAGCACATCTATCCTTAATTAAAATGTACAACTACTTCTCTTCTGATCATCATTAAAACTAAGAGCAACAGTGCTACTGCCTGATATAGTATGAGTTTTAAACATAAAACTAATCATATGCTAAGTGGTCACATTTCTCTATTCACTCCACAGAAAAGGCTGAATTATGACTTTATCATCATTCCAAGGTAAACATAGTGCATTGCTACTATGATCCATAGGCTATCCTTGTGGAAAGTGGGGGATTCAGAAATTAAGTCGGTCAGAGGCTTCCTCTTGGCTCTCTCATTTTCTTTGGAAAGAAGAACTTTCAGCAAATGCCTACTCAGTACAGCACATATTCCCTAACACATGAAGGCAGTCATGTAGGTGGCACACTGGATAAAACCCCTGCATCACTTCACCTCCTTCTGTTCGCTTCCAACAGGTAGGTGACAAAGCATTTCTGTGCAGAATGCTTTTCTTGTTGATCCCCAACCCACGACCAAGTTGAACCCAGGAGACTGCTCCTATAAGAGAAGTTTAATATTTTTTATCATGAACATCCCCCGAAGACTCTCTAAATGGTAGAAAGCTGCATTTCAGATCACAATCATAACAGTGTCTCTAAGGTAGAGCTACTAACATTTGATATGCCTGAATCAGATGTTCCAATCAGTGGATCTAAATTACATCTACTTAATAGTTTGGAAAGGACCCATGAAGTACCAACTAAAAATCAGATTCCTTAAACGATATTGATTTTTTTTTCCCTTTTAGAATCTCCTTCAATTTAGAGACAGCTTCTTCATTTCCTCCTTTTACATTCAGCAGCTAATTAAAAATTGGTGAGGAAAAAGCTTCACAACCCTCCTCACCCCTGCCAAATTGCAATATTCTGTTTCTCCTTTGAAAAGGCAATTTTACAGGAGCAGTGATCAATTCAACATAGCAGTTTTTACACCTCTGCAACAAGGATTTTCAACAGAGTTTAGCTCAGTTAGAGATTATTTTAAACTTACTCAATGTAAATAGCTATAAAATTTACTTCAGCACAGAAAATCAAGCAAATAAAGACAAGAAGAGCCAATATTCTCTAACTCAAACAGGCAAGTGAGATGCTTTCATAATTTCCAGAAACCAAGAGAAGCTCTGAGTCTATTAAAGTCACTGGCAAAATTCCCATCAAATTCTGTGCAACCAGAA